CCCTGATGGGCCCTGCTTTGTGCGTGACAGGGGGCAGCGCCAAACCCCCTGATTGGCCCTGCTCTGTGAGTGACAGGGGGTGGCGCCGCAACTCCCTATCGACCCTGCCTTGAGTGTGACAGGGGGCGGTGCACCAACCCCCCAATCGGCCATACCCTGAGCGTGACTAGGGGTGGCATCGCAACCTCCCAATCCGCCCTGCTCTGTGCATGACAGGGGGTGGCGCCCCAACTCCCCAATCAGCCCTGCTCTGAGCCCGACCAGGGGCTGCACCTAGGGATTGGGCCTGCCCTCTGTCACCCAGGAGCGGGCCTAAGCCAGCAGGTCATTATCTCCCGAGTGGTCCCAGACTGCGAGAGGGCACAGGCCGGGCTGAGGGACCCCCTCTCCACCCCGAGTGCACAAATTTTTGTGCAACGGGTCTCTAGTCTGTAATAATAAAAGCATAATATGCAAATTGACTGAACGGCCTAACAGCCATCCGGACGATCACGCTATGACACCCACTGGCGCCAGGCCAGCCAAGGCAGGTGCAATGTGATTGGTTGGGGGCCTCGCCATTGCCCCATGATTGCCCCGCAGAGGGAGGCCCAGGCCACTGGCTGGCGGGGTGATCAATCAGGGGGCTCCACAATTGCCCCAAAGAGGGAGGCCCAGGCCACCGACCGCTGGGCTGTGGCGGGTGGGCGGGGCCTCCCTCTGCGGGGCAATTGATCGCAGGGCTCCAGACTGTGAGAGGGAGCAGGCCGGGCTGAGGGACCCCCCCACCCCTTACAGTGTACGAATTTCGTGCACTGGGCCTCTAATTTATTTTATAAGAAGCTGAGATTTTGGTAGAGGTAGATATTAATTCCTAGTCTTTTAGTCTGTGAGTCACACAGGGATGTTGAATGGTTTTCTTAGAACTGCATTTGAGTCAGTATAAAGTTAGGGTTATAAATGTTGAATGTACTTTATTTTGTGTATTTATAGGAACCAGACAGCAAGATTTAAAAAGTGAATTTGTGCCTGGAAATAGCTAGATAATATGGAAGATAAGGATTGTTTAATTAAAAAAATTTCTATTTGAGAAGTTAAGAGAGATACAGGGGGAGAGTGAGGACAATGTAAGTCTTGTTGAAACATAACTCAAAGGCATATAGTTTGCTAGTCCATGAGAAAAACCAGTAACAGATTGATTTAATTTATCAAAGGAGAAAGGAGGGGGAGAAGAAAAAGCATATTTAGGAATAGTGAATTTTGTTTTCCTTTCTTTGGCTAAGCTGCTGATTAGCTGGCAGCAAGTGAAGAGAACAATTAGGATATTCTACCCTTAGGCAGCTGGATGGGTCATCAAAGAAAACAGTTTTAGTTGTTTATGACTCTCCAGAAGACCTTGAGTGTTTAACTGTGACTTACACCTGTGTCTTTGTATTATGTCTACCACTATCCTCCTTAGCATTTCCATGCCAGATCTGCATCAGAATTTCTCACTTGCTTTAATTATGATCATGTTTCTGTGATTTCTTTTGTAATTTTTGTATTCTTTGGTGTGTTAGATGGCCTTTCCAAAAAGTTAATGCTATATCTTCCTGGGGTATTGTTGGCCATTTGAATTCCTTTAACATTGTGTGCACGTAATTTGTTAAATTCTTAGATCAGAAAGTCTTAGTCTGTTTGAGACTATATGGGAAATGTGAGCTTTGCAGTGGATTTCTCTGGTGAATTCTCCAGTAAGCCAACAAAATGTATTTATCTGAAGCAATTTATACTCTTTTACCTTACTGTTGCTTTGAAATTCAGGTCATGAATTTGGAATATTTTGTAAATTGTCTTTTCTATAGTTAGATTTACTGTTATGTGCTTTATCATTGATGAAGAATGGGAATAATGATAAATTCTGTTTTCTTACAGTCAAAGGAGATTGGTTTGTTAGATGTAGATGTATATGGCCCATCAATTCCAAAGATGATGAATCTGAAAGGAAATCCAGAATTATCACAGAGTAAGTAAAAAGAGATAAATAGTATGATAATAGTTACACTTTTATTTATATTTAGTACCTGCTGTGTACTAAATTAAAGTCAGACATTTTACTATGTGCTGTGTGCACTCAGTGTAGTATAGTAATTCTGAAATCAGATATGAAGCTAGGCTGCCTGGGTTTGAATTCCACCTCTGTCACTTACTGTGTAGGTTTGAAGGTTTGGGTGAATTGTTTTTTGTTTTTTTTTGATGGGTTTTGTTTTCTTTCTTTTTTTAAAATTTTTTATTATAAGTCTTTTCCATAACATTTCTAAGGCAAAAATTTTTTCCCCTTTACTGATTAAGATATTACAAATGTATCCTTATCCCTCCAATGTCCCCTCATACCCCCAATCCTGCCCTCACCCTCAGCCCCTGTTGTCCACATCCATCGCTTATGCTTATATGCATGCATACAAGTCCTTTGGTTGATCTCTCCCCCTCACTCCCACCCTCCCCTACCTTCCCTCTGAGTTTTAAGCATCTGATCGATGCTTCTCTGTCTCTACATCTGTTTTTGTTCATCGGTTTATGTTGTTCATTATAATCCACGTATGAGTGAGAGCATGTGATATTTATCTTTCTCTGACTGACTTATTTCATTTAGCATAATGCTCTCCAGGTCCATCCATGCTGTTGCAAATGGTAGGAGTTCCTTCCTTTTTACAGCAGCATAGTATTCCATTGTGTAGATGTACCACAGTTTTCTAATCCATTCATCTGCTGATGGGCACTTAGGCTGATTCCAAATCTTAGCTATTGTAAATTGTGCTGCTATGAACATAGGGATGTATATATCCTTTTGGGTGAATTGTTTAGCCTTTTTGTGCCTTAACCCTTGCCTACCCTCCCCATATATAAAATAGGGGTAACAATTGCTGTGAGTAATCACTCAGTTACAAAATTGCTGTAAGTATATGGCACATAATAAGTGATCAAAAGTTAGCTCATCACTATTGTCTCTTTATATTAAACTGGAGGCCTGGTGCACGAAATTCGTGCTGGGGGAGGGGGCGGTCCCCTCAACCCAGCCTGCATCCTCTCCAATCTGGGACCCCTTCGGGAATGTCCGACTGCCAGTTTTGGCCCAATCTCGGGGATCGGGCCTAAACCAGCAGTCAGACATCCCTCTCACAATCCTGGACTGCTGGCTCCTAATCGCTCACCTGCCTGCCTGCCTGGTTGCCCCTAAATGCCTCTGCGTGCCGGCCTGATCTCCCCTAACTACTCCCCCTGCTGGCCTGGTCACCCCTTCATGCCCCATCTGCCGGCCTGGCCGCCCCTACCTGCCCCCCCGCCAGCCTGGTTGCCCCTAACTGGCCCCCCCTCCAGCCTGGCCCCCTCTTATTGCCCCCCTGCTGGCCTGATTGCCCCTCACAGCCCCCCTGCTGGCCTGGTCACCCCATGCAGCCTGCTGTTCAGTCATTTGGTTGTCCCTCACTAACCCCGCTGCTGGCCTGGTCATAGGCAGCCATTTTGTGAGGGCATGAGGGTTAATTTGTATATTACCTCTTTATTATATAGGCGGATGTGTGGATATATGGGAGTATTTGAATAGAAAGTATCTTACCTAATAATAGACAAACATGTAAATTGACCGTACCTTCGTTACGCTAACCAGCCAATCAGGAGAGTATGCAAATTAACCCAACAAAGATGGTGGTTAATTTGCATACGTAGGCTCCAAGCGGTGGAGCGAAGCCTGACTGCCCCGGGGCTGGAGCAGCGAAACCTGACGGCTCCGGGGCCTTTCCCTTGGCTGCTGGAGCACGGCCAGAGCGAAGGCCTGGGTCCCGGGTGCCAGAGGCAAACCGGTGCCAGCAGCCAAGGGAAAGGAAGGCCTATTGCAGGAATCTCTTCATGCAACAGGCCTCTAGTATAATATATTTGTGTTAGAAGAGATGAAAATTATTTTCTCTAATCAGATTTTTATCATATTTGTCTTAAAGTGTTTTAAAAAAAAAACCACTCAAAACATTAGTCTTCAGTGCCATCAATAGAGTAATTTTTTTGAGTAAATCTTTAATATTTACTATTTTTGTTATTACATTTTCTCATAATGCTATCAAATATAAAGCTTTAAGAACAAGAAATGCTATAATCAAAAATGAAAAATTGGAATAACTAATAATTTTTCTTGAAAAATGGTTTTAAGTGAAATTAGTTTATTAAAATTTATTTCTAATTATAATGAATATAAAATTGAATACCTTTTTTTGTTTCTTTTATTGGGCTTTTTATTTTCCATGGATCTAGATCAAAATTACTGTATTTACTAAAGAGTATTTCCATGTGTTTTTTTTTTCTCATTCAAAGGTATAGACATTGTCTACTATTCAAGATGCTTTTGTTTGAATTTTAGTTGTTGGAGTCAATTACAATGTTAAATTCTGGATAATTATTTATAAGACAATAAGGATTCTTCTTTTTTTAAAATTTATTCTTTATTGATTAAAGTATTCCATATGTCTTCTTTTTCTCCCATTGACCTCTCCCCAACCACTCCCCCCGCACCCCCCCAGCACATGTCCTCACCTCCCTAGTGTCTGTGTTTATTGGTTATGCTTATATGCATGCATACAAGTCCTTTGGTTGATCTCTTAACCCGCACCCTCTACCCATCTCCCCCTGCCTTCCCTCTGAGGTTTGATGGTTTGTTAGATGCTTTTCTGTCTCTATTTTTGTTCATCAGTTTATGTTGTTCATTATATTCTACAAATGAGTGAGATCATGTGATATTTATCTTTCTCCTGGCTTATTTTGCTTAACATAATGCTCTCCATGTCCATCCATGCTGTTGTGAATGGTAAGAGTTCCTTTTTTACCACAGTGTAGTATTCCACTATGCTGTGGTACAGTGTAGATGTACCACAGTTTTTCAATCCACTCATCTGCTGATGGGCACTTAGGCTGTTTCCAAATCTTAGCTATTATAAATTGTGTTGCTATGAACATAGGGATGCATATATCCATTCTGATTTTTGGGATATATTCCTAAAAGTGGGATTACTGGGTCAAATGGGAGTTCCATTTTTAATTTTTTTGAGGAAACTCAAAAATATGTCTGATATTTTGCTGCCTGTGGATTCCTCTAAGATTTTTATGGTTTCCCGTCTTATGTTTAAGTCCTTTATCCATTTTGAGTTTATTTTTGTACATGGTGTAAGTTGGTGGTCTAGTTTCATTTTTTTGTATGTATCTGTTCAATTTTCCCAACACCATTTATTGAAGAGACTGTCTTGACTACATTGTATGCTGTTGCCTCCTTTGTCAAATATTAATTGAGCATAATAGCTTGGGTTGATTTCTGGGTTCTCTGTTCTGTTCCATTCGTCAATATGTCTGTTTTTGTGCTAGTATCAGGCAGTTTTGAGAACAGTGGCTTTGTAATACAGCTTGATATCTGGTATTGAGATCCCTCCTACTTTGTTCTTCTTTCTCAGGATTCCTGCGGCTATCCAGGGTCTTTTTTTATTCCATATGAATTTTGGGGGAGTTTGTTCTAGTTCTGTGAAATATGCCATTGGTATTTTAATGGGGATTGCATTGAATCTGTAGATTGCTTTGGGTAGAGTAAGGATTCTTCTTCACATTTTGAAGGAAACTTGAAGATCTAGTGATTACAAAATTGACCCTAACAGTTTTATATTATAAGACCCACTTAGTTGTTTTCTTGTTTCAGGAACATACACACTTACTAAAGCTAAGCTATTCTAGTTTCTTTGTTCTTTGTCCTTTTAGTGGAATTCATACTTAGTTTGAAAATATGTGACATGAGCCAAGATGTCAAACTTTTCCAAAGAAATAGTAATGAATTTGCATACCTTAAGTGATAGACTCATTATGTCTGTTTCTTGATTAAAGTAATGTGAAAACTGGTACATACAGCACATGAGTGATGGCAAAACGGAGCCCTTGGTGTCAGTCTTTTCTTAAGTATTAAGTTCAGTCTCTGCCAACATAAGTACTTGAAGTGAGCTTTAATTTCTCTCTTTCTGTTTTACTGAAGCTGTAATCTTAAATTTGATGTTTGCAAATTGGCTGCCATTACATAAGCTTTCTGGTATAGATGAGCTACTGGAAATCTGAAAAGCTTAAAAAGAATACTTTGTGTGTTGACAAGCTGATTTTAAGTCCCCCAAGAAATAAACTGAACTACTATTAAGGCATTCAATTAAAGCAGGGGTGGGAAACCTTTTTTCTACCAAGGGTCATTTGGATATTTATAACATCATTCACGGGCCATACAAAATTATCAACTTAAAAATTAGCCTGCTATATTTGGTCAAACATTTAACTCACCCCTAATGCCTCGGCAGAGTCAGACCAGATGATTTCATGGGCCTTATATGACCTGTGGGCCAGACGTTCCTCACTCCTGACTTAAAGGAATGTGGATTCTTTTCTTCCAAGTTTTAAATTTTTATTTATTTCAGAGAGGAAGTGAGAAGGAGAGAGAGAGAGAGAGAGAGAGAGAAACATCAATGATGAGAGAGATCAATGATGAGAGAGAGTCATTGATCTGCTGCCCCCTGCATGCCTCACACCAGGGATCGAGCCCACAACCCAGGCATATGCCTTTACCGGGAATCGAACTGAGGCCTCCTGGTTCATAGGTCGATGTTCAACCACTGAGTTATGCCAACTGGGCAATTTGTATATGTTTTTATATAAAATTATGGGGATGGAAAATCTAGCCAGTTTGTAGAAAGCATATTATACAAAAACCTCAACAGGTTGACATCATAATGGCTGCAAATGACCAGTTGCTTTGGGAAATCAATGGAGATTAGAATAAAATCCACGTGCAGTTGGGAAAACTATCATCTAAGCAAGAATGTAACTTTAAAAAAAAAAGAACAAAAGAACGAATACCATTACTTGTCTTTTTTAACTTTCCAAATAACACGATATTCAAATTTCATATTATAGTATGGGCAAATTATAGCCCCAGAAATTATTGAGTGGAAAGGTTTGCAA